AGAAATACTGGTCTGGTTGGCTAAAATGTTAATAGAAATGTGTGGGTTATTGCTGACAAAATTCTCGGTCTTGGCAATTTTTTCTGACGTCACTGCTTCGCGAGCCTTGAATGTAACAATCTAACGTCTAATTGCGCTGGTAGACAATATTTGTTTCCTTTCTATATTCACCAACGTATCGTAGATTTGAGTTGCATTTCTGTCAATTTTCTAAGATGCAAAAATAAAGTGTCGTTAGTTCTTATGGCACATTTTTTTACAAAAAAAAAGGTTTCTCAACAACGAGATAAGGAATTTGCCTCTACTTTTTTTCATTGGTTACATGAAAGTATGCCCACGTTATGATTACTCCAATTTTTAGTTAAACTGTTGTAATCTCGAGTTAGAGAGCCACACGCAAAACTTTTCAAACCTCCCTCCACGTACTACAGACAAGTGAAAATGATTTTGTCATCGCTCGACAACAATACTGTGGAGAGTTAGATTACCGGTGGTGTCAGAAACATAGGGGAAGTTTCATTCATTCTGATCATCGCCTAAGGCAAGAAAGCTATGCCAATACGCATGCATACTACACAGTCTCGATAAGTCAGCCATCGCAGGACTTTATACTGAATGAAGTACTTTTTTGTGGACGGGTCGATTGAATTTTTTGTTTCTTGTAATTTAAGTTGTAGATAAAGTAAGTGGCTTAAATACTTGTGAGGAAAAACTCCGATGAATCGTACTTATTGTCAAAATGGGAGAATGGCATTTGCGAACATTGTTAAGGCTATAAGCTTTGGGTCGTATATTTTATTGGTTAACATCGTGTAGCAACGGGTCCAATGCCGTATGCTATAACAACGTAAGACTAACTTAATAAAAGCTCAAGTAAGTGGTGTTTTGGTCATCATAAGTCAATCAATCTTCCATTTGACTATTACTATGGACATGAGCAAAAACAATGGATATAAATAGGTGCGCAAATTCAATTTCTTAAAAATCTAGAGGTGAGGATAAAATTGGAATCATCATCGTTTATGTTTGTACTATAACAGTTGTCAAACTTATATTGTAAACCATAATCGCTTCATCATTTATTTCATTGCGCTGTCCGATTCTGCCATACCCAATACTTTGTCTTAGAACGCTTGCTTTTTTCTTGTTGACGTAAACTGGCGATATATTTGTTGTTGGTCGCATGTTGTTCAATAGAGCCTGATTCTAATCGCATTCAGGGAGCAAAGATTTATTACTCATGGAAATTCTGACCACGGTTTCGAATTTCTAACAAAATTACTGATAGTTCTGTGAATAAAAGTTCCTCGCGATCTACAATATCCATGTGATGAAGAGCTTGCAAAATCCAATTCTGGTAAATCCCTGACTAGTATTCCCATATTAATATATTATGTTCGCGCCAACTGTCCAGACATTTAATGAAGAAATTCATAGTGGTTTTACGGCAATCCAGCTTATACAGTTTGCCAAAGAACACGAATTATTTCAATTACTATAGCAATGCTATTCATCGTTACTTCTCGAACACGACCTACAATGCCCGCAAACTACGACAGGAAGAGTCCGAGCTCTATTTAAGACTCATAAAGTCTTTTCGTGAAAAACTCGCCTCAAAGCCTCAGAAGCCAGAAGATTTATATTCAAGTATGATAGATTTCTCGGTACTTGGGCCATTAACAAGAGAACATGCGACGCTTCACAACGCTATTTTTCGGAAAATACGAGATTTAAAGGAATCTGCTGGAATTGAAGAGTGGAGAGCCTTTTACGAAGAGGCGAGAGATAATGGCCTAGATTCAATAAATCTGTATAACAACATACTAAAGGGGCTTATTAAGAATAAAGCCTATAAAGTTGCAGAGGACATGTACAAGGATATGAGACATCACGGAATCTTGCCTAATTGTCGAACATTAACACTATTACTAAAAATTAACACCAATAATGACAAGGGAACAGAATACTACGAAGAGATAGAAAGACTAGGCTTAAAGCCCATAGGTTTGAATGATATTAACGTAATTCTTGAACATCTCATCGTTCAAAATCGTACCAACAACGTAGAACGTGTTTGGAAGTCTTTAACAAGTGGCAATACTGTCGAATCATTGGGTATTGATATCTCACCAGACAAGTATTCATATCTCCTTTATTTAAGGTATTCACTGAAAATCAAAGACGTTAATAAAGCCATCGATGTTGTTAAGGTATTGGTTGATAAGGAATACAAGATATCATTAAATTTCTTCACGCAACTGGCATCGTTCTTTACTTTAAACGGTCATCCTGAAGAAATTCGACAAGCTATCAAGTTAGTGAAAAGGGAAGATATAGCCGAGTTAAAAAACCTGTTTCCGCGTATTTGCAATTTGATGATCATAGATCATATGAAAAATCAGAATTGGAACGGCGTTTGGGATGTAGCAAAGATAAGGAAGCTTTTGGAGTTTCATACCAAGCAGATGGAAGATAATTACGCTGCAATTGACGCACATAAAAACGTTGAATTGAACAGCGTAGGCCAAAAAGTGGAAGAAATGATTAACTGTTTATGGGAAGAAGCAGATGTAGAAAAGCAAACTCTGGAAACCGAGCAAGAGTATGCGGAGAAGAAACTGAGTGAGATTGGAATCATACCCAAGGTCAATTAGATCTGCATGCAGAGATTACATCACGGTAATTGTAATATTTAAGTTAAAGTATATACCACATCTGAGATTATGTAAATATCCATCATGTTTGAACATTTTAGCATCGAGTGAGATGACTGAACAATGCGTTTATTAATAAATTGTATTTATAATATCGAAATAATTATTTACAGGATTTGAAGTTGATTCATGTTCGTAGGACGCTGCGGAGTCGGTGGTCAGGATAGACAATGACCCAATGACCCAATAGGAGTTAGGTCATCAGAGATGATGAGAAAAAATAACATCACTAGCCGAACATATCAACAAGAAACAGAGGAACGCGAATCTTAGATTCACCCACTATTGTCTTCAAAGCAAACCACCCAACCGTCATTCGATGATTATCGCAGTTCGATTCACACGGACAATCAGATTCATTCATACAACAACCTCTACACGAAATAAACTCTTACTTATTCCATCCGGCGGACAACTCAGCGGAGGTGGCTGGATAAAATAACACGCTAGTCATTGGATGTCAAAAAGTCAGTGTGCATCGGGCAGCGTCCAGAAACAAATTGTGAGGACGGTAATCGGTGAACTGACCGGTACCTCACCCAATTTTTGCGATATGATGCAAAAGGCAATAATCAATTACCTAACACAGCACAATACGTATCCCCCCGAGGATAGAGGAGGGATGTGAGCCTGTAGGATATGCACATGGAGTATCTATTTAAGAAACGGCATGTGCAAATAAAATTTTTGTCTTTACAATAACAGTTTATAAGTGAGTGATAGGATTATGTTGGTTTCATTATGGGGAAAAATTGTTGAGATCATTCGGGACAGAAAAGTAAATGCTTTGACAACTCTCGTATGCCGAAGCTTGATCCATCTATAAAATTTCAGTTCTTGCGATTGGCCACACTTTCCAACCAAATTTATATTAAACTAGATTATAATTACCATGTGATTACGTGTATTAATAAAATGCAAATAGTCGCGTAACATGATGCTGATATATTATGCGCTTTATTGCCAAGCATAATAACGATTTTCTTTAATTCGACCAAAAAACCAGTGATAAGAACGTGAGGTAATCATTAGCGTGATAGAGCTCTCTGTTGGGTGAAATAGAGTTTCGTATTCTTGTGATAATAGAAATTATTACATTCTTATTTTTTGTTTCGTCTGTTCCGATCATTAAACAAAATAGTCAGTTGTATTATTATTATAGGAGACATGAGAGCTGGAAAATAATCAACACTCGAGAAATTGCTTTATTGCAAATTTACAATCACTGAAGAAATTTGGTTTAAATAATCAGATAATAATAAATATTGTTCGGAATATAATAAATCAAGTTGAATGTAATTTTAATACAAAAATTTTATTAAAAAATACGCATAATACAGATTTAAAATAAAAGAACTGGGATTACACCTATTTTACATAGACTACTGGGTCAAAAATTGGGACCTCTATTTCACTAGCAAAACGCATACAGAGCACTATCTAGCGATTAAATTAGTGACAATTCATTTATAAAATTAACAGCAATATTAAAGCTGTTCAATGACTTTCTCCTACAAAAATATACTTCGTTCCTCGCCTTGGCACTAGAACGACACAATCCATATAAATCTGCCTCGGTTACTGCTCAGTTAGATATTAACATTAATATGGCGTGCATTTTGGGCTGTATTTTAATTTGGGTATTTCTCAAACGATCACTAACGAAGCAACCTGTCTCTCGAGTTCTCGCTAATGATGATTGATGGGACAAGATTGACAGTACTGTTTACACTCATACAAAGTGAGTGGTCCATTAAAAGGGCAGATTCTCTTGTCTTTTGTGGCCGTTCACTAAAGTTATTAGGGGAAGGCCTACAAATCCAAGGAGCTATCGAAAGGGCAAACGCCATTTCGAAAAACAAGGATGGAATTTACGTTGGACGAGCATCTACATTGCTGTGTTTACATATCAACGCCATATAAACTAGTGTTTAAAATAGACAAGCATTACACTGTTGGGTGATAGTGGCTTGAATATGCAGAGCAGAAGAAAACAATGTTTCGATGGAAAATACAATTTAGATATCGATAAACCTGTTCTTTCATCAGGTTGTGAATCCGACGTAGTCTACGCGACATTGGAGAAGCCGTTAATCTTAACGAAATAAAACTTGACTGTCTGCTTTAATGTTATATCCAGTCTTGTTCATTCAAATCTTTGCTTTTCCCATTTCAATAAGTGCTATTTACTTGAATTGAATAATACTAATGTTTCACTGCGATATTACGTCATTCATATGCACATAAATACTCGCAATCCCTCAATACTCTCTAATTTATTACAACATGATCGGACTGATAGTCCTCTGTGCCTTTCTCTATGGCTCTTACAAGACGAATCCGGACGCGGCTTCGTTTCGAGCGTTTATCCGTCCACCCAATTCAAACTCTACAACAGATAGCCTTACCAACTTTTTTGCTAGTCTTGTGAACGCACACACGATGCCCGAATTCAAACGGGACGACTATATATTCTTCTCGATTGTATCCCTAGCAGATAATACAGAAACGTACCTAGGTCTATGGGGACAATGGTTTCTGTTGAGCAAGTTGCAGCTGATCGGGGGAGGAAAAGGAGCGAGCGCTGAAGAGAATGAGCTGCAGCTCTTTGAAAGTGTTGGAGAAGCCGAAAAGGCTCTAGCCGTCAAGGCAAAGCTTAAGAGGGATCGTAAGTATCAGCAAGAACAAATATGACATGGTCTTTCGTACCGATTATATATTAATGTTAGATTAGGTTACGCGCGCGCGCGCGCTAGTGGGTGTTGTCTGCGGGTTTCTCTCTGCCTATGATTCGAAGCGAATATCAGCTGATACCATATGCTCGTTTGATATAGACGCATCCGCTGCATCTCATTACAACGAGGCAGCGGAACAATTTTTACAGGCCGGTGTTGCTCTTGATGCTGCGCAGTGTTACGAGGATGCTTACAAGGCATATCAACAGGCGAAACAGACAGGTAATCAATATAGTTTGATCCCATGTGTGTACATGCTATAAAAATCTGAACTCGAACTATACTTGCATTTTATATGTTAACCATTTAGAAAAGGCTGTAAAAACTCTGGAGAAGGCAGCATCCTTGTATGAATCTCACGATACACAAATGTCAAGAGCGGCTAACGTGTATGTAAAGCTCGCTGAACAGTATAAAAAGGATAATAGTACGTCTAAAGATTTGGACAAGGCAGTCGCTGTAAGAAAATCAATGGATTTAATTGATGCTCTTTTTCGATCAAAGAACGATATTATCTACAATTTTTATTTGTTATTTTTAGATGTATAAAAAGGCCGCCGATTTGTACGGGATCGAAGGAGATGGGTGAGTTAGTCGGGGAATGAAGAGGAAATAATGTCGCGTTTATGCTACTTTACTAAAAGCTTAAGTTATAAGCTCTGCTAATGACATTGTTCGTTCTTTCTTTTGTTTTGTTTCCTATACGTGCTCAGTCGTCACTTTTTTACTGTAATTTCCCAAGCCGACTTGCTGGCCGAGATAGGACAGTACGAGGATGCAATTAAATTATACGATAACATTATATTGTTTGCAATAGGCGATTCCATGCTGAATTTCAATGTCAAGACACATATCTTCAATCAATTGTTATGCTATGCTGGACTTGATGATTGGGTTGGCCTAGAAAAGAAGGCGGTGGAAATGGAAGCAACATATCCCACGTTTGCAGAAAGTAGAGAATGTCAGTTGATAAAGGTAAGGGATGGCGAACGTTGTCATTCAATTACATGTAGAAATTGTATAACCCATTGTTTAATTTTGTAGACTCTGATACAAGCAAAGAATGCTTTCGATTCATCTGCATATTCGACTGCTTGTAAGGACTATGATCAAAGATCAACTTTGCCTTCATGGCAGATTAATATTCTCCTTAAAGGAAAGAGATCTCTGGAAAGTGAAGATTTGCGATAAATATTTATGATCGTGTGCACACTTTTAAACTTTGGAATGGATTACCATTGTTTTCATTCATTAATAATCGACTTCATCTGATATTAGTGTACATTTTCAGATATGATGTATAATACGTAATTTACATATTTTGATAAATTTCATTTCTATTGGTGCTAAAGATGTAACCGACGATGAGAGACAAACATGTAAAGTCGCTCCCACCTTGAAAGTAGTTGACTATTTCGTTGCTGTGATTGAGGGGAAGGGGAAGGGGAAGGAGAAGGAGAAGGAGATATTAAAGCGGGAGGTGTTGAGACCGACAATGATGAGGCAGACGATGACTGGTCATTGTCAGCTGTGCTATCTGATTCGTCCAAGACCTTTGGAGGTCTACAGTCAAACTTGCAAAGTGGACACTTTGAAGATTTTTCTGTCAACCATGGGTCTAAAAAAGTATAAGCAAAAAGATAAATGAATAATTGGAACATTGCTCATCTAAATATGCTCTCGTGACACTAAAATATTCTCACTTACCAATACATTCTGTGTGGTACTCGTGTTCACAAGGCAAGCATCTCACCTCATCACCTTCAACAAAATCATCCAGGCAGATAGCGCATGTGGTGTTCGATATCATATGAACATGCACATGGGGCACATACGACGAATCACTTTCTTTTTTTGGATCCACTTGCGACTTTTCATCGTTAAAGGGAACAACAATGTCTGTTGTTGTCTCCTCCTTTGGATTAGATGCGGTCTGGATTATTTTTTCACTGGCGGAAAGTGTGTCTAAAGTGGAACCAGGTTGTTCTGTATTTGGCGGTAAGGACTGTCGTGAATTTTCATTTTCTTGATTATCTGATATAGAATTTTCACTGGGATATTCACTAGAATCTCCACTCGAATTAGAGAGATCAGTCGTACTAAAAGATATGTCCGTTTCACTCTCGCTTCCAGGCCCATCTCTATTCTCCCTTGCTCCTTTCCCGTTTTCTCTCTGTTCCAGCAGAGCAGTGATATTGCTAGAATTTGATGTTCTACTTGAATCCGATAAATAAATTTTATGTACATTCCCTCCATTTCCTCGAGATTTGGTATCAGCCTTGTTCTCCGCGTCATCATCATCAGCAACAGCAACAAATTTACGAGTGGGAAACGTGTCGAGTATGGATTTGTCGAGTTTTTCGCTTTGGGTAGTATTTCCAAGAGTTGTTTGTGGAGTCGTCGTTGGATCGTTCACACGGAAACGATCTAAAACGAAGTTTATGCAGACTTTGAAAAGGATAGAAAGTGATTTGATTAGAGGAAGGTAGGTGAGGGGAAAACTAATCATAGAAATGCAGTGCTGGTATATGCTTACATGAAAGTCCAAACGCAAAGAAAACGGTAACCAATATCCCAATAAAAGTAACTTCCAAGATCATGGAAATACTTCCAGAGCTAGGATATAATGCAACAACTAATTGCACCCCTATAAACGAAGAGTTGTCTGCAAATCTTTTCCTCAAGTTAATCAACTCGTCAGCTATATCTTTAGTGACATAATATGCAGCCACATCTACTTGGTCGGACAGAACAGATTGATCGTCGGGTATGTAACCTAGAGGGCTGTAAACTATTGCACCAGTTACAGCGGGTTGGGCATTTCTAAGGTTGGTGAGTTGAGTGGTCAGAGAACAATTCGAATCGGATTCGAAGATGGCCATCAAATCAACGTCGTATGGGTCTTTCACTGTTATAGTGCTGCAGAGACCAGAGACGGGTATTAGCACGCCCTGAAAGGTGAATTTAGATGAGAGAAGAAGGATTAATAAGATTGAATTGCGGGATAATGTGGTATATCCTTCGCAGACAATGTGCAATGTCAAATATATTGACCGAATCTTTTTCAGTGACCCGGCCTATAGACATAAAACTTACCGTATTCCCTGATCTTGACACAGGAGCTGAATTACCGATGGTCTTTACAACGTCACCACCAGAGTATGTTCTTTGCTCGTCAATGTCCGTATTCTGTATTTCATCTTTATTGGTGACGTACAAAACTTTTGCATATATGTATTCTGGTTGCGACTTTAGTGAAAATGCAGACACAGTCTTGGAAAGTAGTATTCCAAGAAGGAAATAATGGAGAAGATAATGAACAAGCATTGCAGATTTTTTTTGTCGAAATGTACAAAAACGGGCGTAGTGTATTATTATACAGAAGAGAGAATCTGACTAGGCGCGGGTGACTTTTTTGTATTATGAGAGTGTATTATGGAATGGTGAATACATTTAGAGCGAAAAAAGGAGTTGGATAAAAAAAAAGCCTTTGGAATACTATCATTTATATAAAACTTGTTGACAGTGTTAAGGATTTGTATTACACAATTTGTTGTATTTGATTGTTTCATGTATTTTATACTCGGGACTACTTTGCCAATTTCAAGTTAGACAGAACGATTTCAAAGCATGCCTGTATAAGAAGGAAGGATGATTGTGTATCCTTATATAGAAATGATGGGCATGCCAAGCGTAAAGAATGTGTCACCAACTAATGGTCTGCTGATAGTGCGGCAACATTTGATTGCAACGTTTGACGCAAAAGTTCTATGGGGAAAGGCTCCGGTACGACCTTTAACATGCAAAGGCTTTCCTCTCATGTCGCTTAGTCCTGGTAATGGAATGGTTTTTCTGAATAGCTGTTTATAGATGGACAATGAAGGGAAAAAAATTTTTTTGTTTACTTATAAGCCTTGGCTTGCATTTGTCAGAAATAGAAAGATTATACGGAGTATTTATCGAGTCGATCATCACGGGGGAAGCGAATGGGTAATTAACTGCGAGATTCTTTTTTAGCTTTTTTGCTTGGCAAATTTTCATAATCGATTGTGTTGCTTAATCATGCATACCTTAAATCCTGATCGGCAGTCAACCTCGAAGTCGTTTCGTCATCGTCTATTGGTCGAGGGGAGGGGTGGTTACATCTATTCTAAACGCGTTTCGTATGGGTGTGGATAGAGATCAATTATTCTCAGTAAAAGGGGGTTTCACATCTTTACTGCGATTATCAGATAGTAAACGAGCTATTCTATTATTGAAAGCAAGGAATGCATTGAGTAAAAGTATGCGGTCCGGTCCTAATGAAGAAAAGCAACTTAACCATATTTGATTGTTCTATTAATCAGTTAACTTCCTTAGAATTTTTACGCTATTTTATATTTGGCTGTCACTGCGGATGTCATATTTTCTATAGCGGGAGGACACGTCATTACTTAAAACAAAATAAAGTTTAGCATGAACTCAAAACATAAGGTGATATTTTAGAAAAACCTGTGGCATACGGTTTTAAAACGAAAATTGACTTGAAATTTTAAAAATTTCCCTCTTCAAATAGGTTTTCATTTGTGTTTACAAATTTTATATCCAAACGTAATCCTGCTTGGGTAGCTAATATTTGAGGCGGCTTTATACCACCCCCGGTCTGAGGCGTTTTACTTCATTATAATGCTTCACGGCTCTTTTTTCAGCTCGGCTTGAAGCGCTGCTCCATTTTTTCAGACTCTGATTTAGCATTCACTAGAGCTACGTCATGTGACACACGGATAGTAACAAATTTTACTATAATCATGAATTCCCTGCTATTCGACAACTAGTTGGCTCAACCTCTTTTTGTTATGACCCGTTCTAGGATTTGACCCGTTTCGGGCTTGTCACATTAGAATAATCGATCGAATGCATAATTTATGTGATAACGTCGAAAAAATTTGTGACAATTTTGAAACGGGTTGACCCGTTCTCAGAATGGGTCAAATCCCAGAACAATTTCATGTTATGTTGTGGAACATGAATTCTTACACAATCGAACTTTGATCGGACCATGTGTTCACAAATACTATCGTTATAGGCAGATATGTATGATTAAAGTTCCATGTAGTCAGAGGTTGTTAGCTGTATCTCTTATTGCTAATGCATTACTCTTCACCCAATGTGCTAAAATATTATAAAAATTGCTCTCGGCTTATTTCGGTCAGGTAATTCTACCAAATTTAGTCAATGCAGATCACACTTTTTGTGTTAATCAAAAAATCTGGAAAGTTCTACAGAACGCCATAGAAAAGTCATGTGTCGTTTTAATCAATTCTTCTATATTTAAATCGTAATACTATTTTCAGCCTGAGAGATTTATTCAACAAAGGGGTCTTCTTAGATTAAACAAAATCTTTTGCGTGTGCAATTTCACCAAACACTTTCATTTCTTTCACTTAGCATCCATTCTCCGCCTATATTTTGAAAACCACGATTATCAGTATTCGCCAAAACGTTAAAAAGGATCTCCCAATGTCGTTATATAGAAGGAAACTAACGATTTCAGCGTTTTGTTGATTTCTTCCAGTATCGATCGCATCATGGGACCTCTGAAAGTTTAGGATGTGAAGTTACAATGCTTTCTTCAATCAACTTGTCAATTACAGGCCTTAATGTAATCGTTGTTCTTCGTAAGCGATTTCGATTAATCGGTAGATGGTCTAACTTGATTTTCATTAAAGTCATTATATCATCGTATACATTACGCTGCTCCATTTCTCAATTTCCATACCAACCTTACACGATCTTGGCAAATCTTTCTCGCTTCTATCAAATGAGTCTTTCGGCCATTTTGTCATTCATCGTAGAGTCGGGTTTGTCTATTCAAATTATCTTAAAAATGACGTGATATCCAGTCATGAGCGGAGCAAAACAATATGTGTCTATTCATTATGAAATGTCTTCCATCTAACAGTCTTCCCAATTCTTCATTTCCTAATAACAACTGTCCATTAGCACCTTCCAACTCGCTAATCCTTTTCAAAAACGTTTCGTACGTTGGCTTCTACATATATACTTGAATTCCGAAACCAAGCAAGCTTTTTCACGAACTTGCATCTCATGTTATTACCTTCTGTTCCCTTCTAGTTCGTTCGAATCTGAAAAAACTTGAGTCATCCATATCTCCTGATTGTAGTGTCTTTCACATATAGACTACTTGTCTAAAGAGTCAAGCGATGATGATAGTTCAGGAAGATACTTTGCCATTTTTTTTAGACTTTTCACTGCTGCACGAACAGACGCATGTCGCCATCTTTGATTCTCTTTAGTCACGCGGGGTGCTAACTGAGTCTTCTTCGAAAGAGAATTAAATGCGCAAGGTAGATTTCCACTATTGCTGTGTAACAAAGCGTAATTCTAAAACGTTGAATTGAGAAGAAACAGCTTTTCAAAGTCGTGTGGATCCCGGTGGATTCTGAAAGTATGTGCTGTAAAAGTTTTAGCCTTGATTCTTATCGCAACGTTAGACCTGTAAATCGCTTTGAAATTCTTGGCATTTACACCAATCAGATTATCAGATTTCGAGATACGCATTCGAGTATTCTAGAACTGATCTGCAAAAACAAACTGTATTTTATCTTTCCAATAAACATTTTCCTTCAGCAACGACATAGAAGTATAGACTTATTGTTCGAACATTGTAATTAGTAGTCGAATAATGTATTAACGATAAAAGATCAACTACCTTAGAACTTATTATTATGAAAGTCACTCTTTGGTACACACGACGATGAAATCTAGCTAGCATTTATTTAAGAGATGGGCACACATTCATAAAATTTTAAGAAAATGGATTAAAATTATCCTCTTGCTCTGTTGACTCGACTCCGTTTCTTTTTGCCCTTCTAATAAAGACCTAGACTGAGGTTTATGTATAAGATTAAACCTGCTATCGGCTTGTTTATTTATTTTGTTGACTCAAAGACGATCGACCAACAGTAAATCAATAGTTGCACAGCCTTTTGCAGTAGATACTAGTCAAGCGTATAACTTGATATATTCTAACAGTCTTTCTACGCGTTTCATAGGGTTGAAAGTCGCTCGAGTTTTTGTTCTATAGCATCAAAAAAAAAATCCAGAAAACGGTTAAGTAAACTGGATCTTGCTTTTCGGGTGAAACTCACATCCATGACGCGTCAGCCACATATTGTTATGAGCAATTATCATGATTTTCTTTTCTTTTTGCGTCAGTGAATTGGTTTGCTTAATATTCATCGTTCATCAAAAAATAATAGTCGAGTCGACAGAAATTTGTTACTGGTCATGTGAATTGAATGCTCTTTGGTTTTTTTTTTTCGCGTTTAGAATGGCACAAAAAAATTGGCCACATGTCCTGTAAATTAATCATGGAACACAAAACAAACCAGTTGCTGTTCTTCTTCACAAATGGCAGATCACCTTGGACCTCAAATTGGCACGTCAGCCGACAACTATTTCCAATCCGATCGCGATGTTGCTATTCAACAAAGCAGAGCCGCGAAAAGCAGAAATAATTCTGGCGATCCAATAAAGTGTACTTCCAAGGTCTTGTGTATGCTCCTCCTAACGACTGCGGATGTCTATGCTTATGTTGGTGAATCGGGATTTCTGGCTAGAAAGATAAACTTGGCGGTATGCGCTTTAATAATTGCTGTAACTCTCGAAAGCACACTAATGGAGATATTAAAAAGGTTGAGGCTTTCAGTAGACCGGCAAGACTGTCAAAACCTTCAAAGGACATACTGGTCCTGTTACTTGCATCGGGATATGGTTTTATGACGGTAACGAGTATCTTATAACCGGATCATGGGATAAGACGTTACGTAAATGGGATGTCAAGGTGTGTGTGCAGTTTATTAGATATCAATTGCCCTTTCGATGTTTGGACTTTAAATTACATATCAATTGTCCCTTCTTTCAAATTACAAGTTTTCTTTGATCTAATCTTCTATTACTAGACAAAGGAAACAGTCAATACGTTTTCAGCTCATACAGACTTTGTTAAATCCATGACAATCGCACGTAATGAACCCATACTGTATTCAGGATCATCTGACAAGAAAATTAGATCATGGAATCTTGTAACTGGCAAAGAGTTGCGCGAATTCCAAGGACATACTCGTGGAATAGAGGACTTGTGTTTGGACGAAAGTGAACAGTATCTATATTCTGCATCTTCCGACAGACATGTTAGAAAATGGAATGCGAATACGGGAGATTGCTTGCAAGTTTTCGATGGGCATTTGACAAGCGTATATTGCTTGAGATTAATTGACGAAGAGATGTGGACCGGTGAGTCGTCCGTCTAAGTTTATCAATGAATCCAATTCGTCTAGTCTTAATGATATCTATTCTACATCCTGAAGCATCCGCCGATAAGACTGTCAAACGATGGGACCTGGTTGTAAGTGTCCATCTGACCAATAATACGATGCAATTGGCAAACGTCTGCTAAATTTACGCCTCTCCTTACATTGATAAAGACAGGAAAACCTGATACTTCCCTTGATCATCCGGATTTCGTCAAGTGCTTGGTTGTAGTGGAACCTTATGTAATAACAGGAGGACGAGATGAAGACATTCGGATATTTGACATTGCGGTAACGTCTTTGGCGGGTATAGTTTATTTATATTGACAAAGAAGGATGCCAAGTATCATTGTCGATTTTATAGTCTGGAAAACTTGTAAAGAAGATTGAAGGTCATTTTGATGAAGTATCGTGCATGGCCGTACATGGAACAACCTTATATACCGGCTCATTAGACTGTACAGTGAGGAAATGGAGTATCGCTGGTATGGAAACATTTCACTGTTTAATATCTTGAGAAGGACTGTTTCTCGCAAAGCTGTCCAGCAGGTTTAATTTGATCATTACTTATTCCGTGCAGCCAAGGATCTCCAACCATCAAACAAAGCAAAAGTCGCAAAGCCAGTCAAAACCAAACCTACAACTCCTACCATGACTGCGGAAGAAGAAAAAGAATTGGAAGAATTATTAGCAAGTGATGACGAATGAGCTTATATTGTCGACATTGGTTTTTGCAAGTTTATTTTTCCTGTTCGTTTAACTATTTCATTAATAACATATTGACTAATACACCTCCACAAACCTCCACAAAGAAATGGAATAGCACGTTCCATATCATTTGGTACAAATACTTTGGTGAAAATACCGTCCAAATGAACAGATGGGTTTTTAAAATGGTTACAGCAATCGATAATGATAACAACACGATGCTATAGAACAATGTCGAATCAAACAAGTACTCCAACAACGTTCGCCCAAATAAATTATTTCTAATAGAGTCTTTTTCTTTGCTGGCTATTTTGTCTACATTAAATACTTGGTTATGGATCACGATCCCAGCAAATGCCCACCAAATAGGTCCAGCCCAATTGGCAATGAATGTCAAAAGACCAACCGTAACTTCATCATATCTATTAACACCTGTGTAGGCATGACTGATGTCTATTGACGCCAAGGAATTTGAATTGCCGAGGGCAAAGAATGACATGTGCTCCAACACAATAAGAGTGAAATGATTAGCAAATTTTGGTGACGGTGATTCGGAGGATAATATTTTTTGTTGCCATAATATCCAGAGCTTCATTTGCATCGCAAATAGCGCAAAAAGTATAACATTATGTGGTCTGGCAAGAAGTATAACAAGATATGTTACCGAACATAGCAGGATCGTCGGTAGTGTGGTTTGGCCTTGTAGAAGATACGTAGAATATAATTAGCTGGAATTTTTCTAAAGGCAATTATAACAAGATTGGAATATACCTTTCTGCGCACTGGTCAAAGCTTTGTTATAAATAATATCGGTTACTATAGCGACTCCTACGAGACATAGTAGCGCAGCATATGCAAGTCTTGCAACCGCAAACGGTTTCAAATAAAGGCCAGCAAATCGCGAGAATGGCAGACAAAACGCGGGCATCACAGCCCTGCCGCCATCCATGTCTAGCTTGTATTCGACTATCAGTACTGTCGTCAGGAGAACCAGCAACGAAGCCAGACATTGCAGCATTATTAATATCTTGTGAGACCTGACATTTGCCAAATTCCATATTTCCTTGAGCGTGATTAAGAAAAGTCCAATGATGACTATAAAAACCATAAACCACATTGCAGGTGCATACGATGAATTTAGATAGTATTTCAGGTCTATTAACCCCGCGTACTTCTGACCTGCGAAAAAAAAAGAATACGTGATTAGTAATTGGATTGGTTGTGAGATCAAACCCAATATAGAACTTTTAATTACCCGTCTGATTCCATGTGCGTATCAAACGTACAAGAAGCATCTGACCGATACAGAAGATGAACGATTTCTTGTCTATATTATTTTTGAGGCTGACAAACATATCGCTCATTAGTACCGTCTCTTCCAAGTGTTGATATGCGGAGGGGGAAAGAGAGAGGAGGTTTGTTTACCTGTCATGTAACCATATGACCCACATTGTCTGCGTCCAAAAATACCAAAATTGATGCTCCTCTTCAACGTAGCTGCTAGCAAACATGACGATTGCTAAAAGCACGATTCCAATCCATGAAAAAATTTGAATGGTCTTCCAATTTCCAATATCCCGGTTGTTGAAAATAGCACGTGAACTATTCATTGCAACACCCGTTAAACAAACGACCGTTATTAGAATACATCCTATCCCCATGGACATTGAGCCGAGGTTATATTCACTGAATGTTGCCGATAGTACAGAGCTTGCTTCACTGATAAACTGAATAACTTAGGTAAGAATTCCAAACAGGTTTAACAGGCAAGTGTCTATGAATTAAGTGACGTACCATCTGATAGGATTGAATTGCTTGATTGACGGCATTCT